CATTCATTCATTCAAAAGATCAACCAGAAAGGACACCAAGAGAACAATCTCTTTGCTTTAACTCTTGAAGAAAAGTAGACTAAAGTGAAGTGACGTTAACCAATGCACTATTTCTTTTTAAGATTTAAAGCCATTTTTATTTAACACAGAAAGGCATTTTAGAAATTACACATTTATAGAGAACCATATGATGTGTCAGAATCTTTGCATACATAATGGGATGTCCAAATCAGAGTAAACACATCTATTTCCTCCAACATTCATCATTCCTTTTTGCTGGAAACAGTCAAAACAATTTCTTGTAGGTTTTAGAAATACATAGCGCATGATCACTGCCTGTAGTCACTCTATTGGTGCATTAGAACACCTTGCTCCTACCCAGTTGGGACTTAGGGTCTATCTTTGTTTCCCTACCCTTGTTTCTGGGCTCTGGCAATGACCATTCTATTCTTGAGGTGAGAAACCTTTTATTCTGCATATGAATAGAACCTTGTAGTCCCTGACTTCTGTACCTGCCCTATTTCCCTTAATATAATATCCTCTAGGCACATTCCTGTTGCCAGAAAGAACTGGATTTCACGCACTTTCTACGGCCACACAGTATTCCATTATATACCATCCACATTTCCTAATTCATTCATCAGCTGATGGAGACTTCTGTCTACCATTTAAACGATTCTGTTTTCTTGTTCCTGTCTGAGCTACATTACAAAAACCAGCTGTCTGCCGTTCCCAAAGGAACACCCATCTCTTTCCAGATGAGTTAATGTCCAATCTGTGAATCACTAATAAAAGCAAATTAGACCATTAAACTCAATTTGTTGAAATTTGGTTTTTAACCACTCCTAAATGTTAAATTGGAGGATACCCACCACGCTATACCAGTGGTGAGAAATATGGTCACTGCCAGGACACCTATAAGTGATATAGTGCCAATGCAAGGTCTATATTGAAAGGAAAGACTTGTGGAAGACCAAGACAGCCAGAAAGAGCCCCCACATCCTGGCCAGAACTAAAGAGGTCAACTCTGTAGGCTTCCCTGGGGAATTTCAGCAGCACAAGCAGCAGCTAGGTAACCCTCCAAGACATGCTACTCAGGACACCACAGAAGCCAGAGGGGCTGTATTTTGTACCCTGCTATTACCTCCCATCTTGAAGTAATAACACATACACAACACATATACACACACACACACACACACACACAGCCTTCCATCCATGTCATCCATGTTCTTAGACATGGAGACTGAGGTACCATTCGTACTCTCCTACATGAGAATGTGAGAGACAGAGAATTTGTTCCCTAACAGCAAATTCCAAACCAGACAGGGCTAAAGTACAGTTATCCTTTGTCAAGAGATAGATGAATCCATACACACATATGCACATACACACTCACACATGTGTGTACCTATACTCATACATAAGGTGTGATCCTAAAATCCCAGTGCATGTTTAATTTGTTTTTAATTGCTGTTAATCCCTTTCAAATATTGCTGCTTACTTTAAATACACTTATCCCATCCTTCTTGCCACTTTTTGATGCAGTTCTGGAAGTCCTCTTTTGTGAGTGTCTATAGTTACACTGTGGTGGGTTCCTCAGTATCCCGAGTCAATTCCAAATGTTGACCTTTCATGGTCATTTTGATTTGGGGAGGAGAACCAGAAGTCACTTAATGGCAGATGTAGTGCACAAGGTGGTTGAGGACACACTGTGATGTTTCACAAGTTGGCCTTTCTGTTGGATGGTGTTCAGCAGCAGCCTTCAGTGTATTTTTTATCACACTTCGTAAAGACGTGCAGGAAGGAGGACTTCCAGAACGGCTTCAGAAAATTCTGGGTTAAGTGTGGTAAAGTAAAGAGGAGGGTTTTGATGGGGATGACTGGGAATGCCTTTGACAGTAATAATTTTTTAAAATGTAAGCATTCATGGTATATTCTGATTACACATATGTATATAGTCACATAGCGATAACAAGCAGAGGATAGAAATTTTGCCCAATGCATCTGAGTCATATGGAGTGTGCCATGGTTTGATTTGGTTTGAGCTTCTCCCAAATTCAGCTGTGAGGTATTAGGAGGCTGAAGCCCAATCCAACTATGACTATTTAGAAGTGGGACTTTGAGAGTAGGATTAAATAAGACCTTCAGGATGGAGCTCTCATGGCTGAAGCCAGGTACGTTTTTCAGAAGAGGGAGTCTGGCAGAGACAGACATGCAATGCTTCCTGCCTGGCCTCAGGACACCCAGCATCACCTCAAGGACATTAGTCGAGGCAGCTCTCTGACCTTGGGGCTGAACTCTGAGCCAAAAGACACATTTTTTAATAAAGTTACCTAGCCATGGGTATTTTATTATAGTGCTGGAAAAGGAACTAACACAGAGTGTGTATGAACTTCTGAGGGAAAACCAATTGGTTTTATTTTTTATATTCAGTATAACAGAGAGACATGTGAAGAGTAGGTGTTTTCATGCTGAAAAAATCAGTGTCAAGCACAGAGTTGTCCTCCGGCCACACCAACATCTCCCGGGAGGTCTTTAGAAATTCAGAATTTCAGGATCCATCTCAGACAGTTGAAGCTGAAATTTGCATTTTCTCAAAACTCTTGGGAGATTTGTGTGCCGACTGGTGTTTGAAAAGCCCTGCTGCATCTGATGATCAATATGCATCTATATAAAGAATGACTAAATTAATGAATATATGAATAAAAATTGACTAAGAAGCAATTAAGGAGTGGCTTTTGCAATGTCATTTTTTATCCTTATGCAGAATGTTTAAATGCAGAGACTGAATTTTGGGCTCTCTCTCACATGAAGCTTCTCTTAAAGAGAGACCTTCCAGTTCTCCACCCCTTTTCTTAACAGAGGGTCAGTTCCCTGGAGGTAGAGGAAGGCTCCTTCTTTCAAGCTGCCTTTGTCAGCTGAGGCACAGATTAAAGATTAGTCAGCTCACTGTGCACAGTCTGTGGCTACTTTTACAAAATCTACTCCTTAGAATTTGAAGCATTCATGCTTTTATATTTCCCTTTCTACATCTGCCTATATTTACAGATGCATGCCTGGGATTCCTTCCTATCATATTCTATGTCTTCTATTTCAGTTGGTAATTGCATAATAAGATGGCCCGTGGCCTTGGTTTGCTGCGGATGGTTGGCAGGGTATTTGTTTAATGCTGTGTGTTATCTTGATTTACATATAGCTTCCAAGGATCAATTGGTTTTGTCTAATGAGATACTCATAATCTTGAGCAACTAATTCGATACTTCTCACAAAAGCCTCTAAACCAGAAGTAGCTCTACTGTTTTCTTCGTTTCAGTGGGATTGCCTTCCAGAGTGAGCTATAGGGCTGTAACTTCGATGAGCCCATGCTCAGCTGCATGAGATGGGAGCTACTGGTAGCATTTCAGAAGTATTTATTGAGCCACTCCCAAGCACTGCATAGGAAACATGAGCAAATGATGTAGGGCTTGCTTTGAGAGCTTTGAGGTTCTCAGTGTATGTGACAAAGATGGGCTGATGAATGATGGAACACAGTGCTATAAATGACAGGTGTGTAAAGTGTCTTGGAAGTATATTGCAAGAGCTGTGAATGCCACCTGGAGATATCGGAGAAGGAATCACCGGAAAGGTACCATTTAGGACAGAATTTAAAAGATCAGGCTGCATTTACCTTAATCCTCTCTTTCTATTCAAACCACAGAGGAAATCCCTGATCAGCTTTCTGTCAGCCCTCTAGCTCAAGGAGTGAAATTTGGTGCTCGAAGTGATTTAAAGGAATATTTTGTTTTAGGGAGTTTCACTACCCGTGTCCTTCAGTCAGGAGAAGAGGCTGACGTTTAAAAACACCTTCCACTATGCCTCCTGTTAGGAAAACGCCAGTGAATTGCTCATAAATTAGGCAAATAATTTTGTAGCGTTCTAACCAAATAAGTTTTCCAAAGAGACTGTCTTGTATCTCTTCAATCTCTACACTTTATGTGTCTCTACACTTTATACTTTGCAAGGGAAAACTATATAAGACAGGATACATATTTTATAAGATTATTTATAATAGTCACCCAAAGAATCATATAGAAGAGAGTGCAGGAAATTCATCCACACACGAAAAACAAAAGAATCCAGCCAAGGGCCAGGGTGCCATAGAAATGTCCTGCATGAGTCCAGCTGAAGACCTAGAGCCCATAGCAATGCCTCCCACAAATCCAACTGCAAGTCCAGCACCCATGACAATGTCTCATGCAGGTCTGTGTCACAGATCTGCACTGGGAAGGCCCAAAGGTCAGTAATGGAATCTAGAATGTCTGCTCCAGTGAGTTGAAGGATCTGTACTAGCAGGCTGAGGGATCTGCACTGGAGCCAGGAAGCAAAGCAATGCACAAAGTAAGAACCAGAGCTCCCTCAACAAGTACCACAGCCATCCTCAGCAACAGTGACATCCTGAGCTCCTCCAATGATCAGGACAGCCGAGTTCCAATCAGGAAAGCCAAAGCAACAAGGTTCTCCAGGAGGCTGAGCACTGCATCTTCCCCTCTGGAGCCAGGAAGCGATGTGCAGAGTGAGGACCAGAGCTCTCCCAAAGCAAACCAGAGCCATTCTCAGAGACAACAAAGTCCCAAGCTCTTTAAAGGATAAAAACAGCCAAGTTCATCAGAAAAGCCAGCATGACAAGCTCCTCCAATAGAACCAACAGCTCCTTACAGCATCTTTTAGCTTCCACCAGGCTCCCAACAGCTTCTGCCAGCTCCCAACAGCTTTTACTTCTTCTTTACCTGTTCTTCCACTTAAGCTGCTGGCAACAGTCCTCAGGTGGACCCCCCCACACACCCAGCACCACCTTGATTCAGTTCAGCAGGGTATTACAAGTTGACCACCAGTTGTCAATCCATCACACTTCCCAACATATAAGAGAAACAGTGCTCGCAAAAGAAAGGGGAACAGGAATTTCTTTGGCTAATACCTTTCAAAATCCTCCATGTTTGCTTTCCTGTCAGGCAGAGGAGTGCATGCACACATATTTATTTTTATACCAGAAAACAAATTTCAAACATTACAAGACATAACACGGTATAACAAGAGAAATGCCATCTAGCAAGTTTACTGCAAAGCTGGCAAACATCTTTAGACTGACTTAAAGAAGGTGTTGTGTTTTAAAGGAGGAAAGTAAGCCAGTACATAGCAGACAGCCTTGGGGAGGGGATGGTGGAGAAGTGCTCTCAGAGGCTTAAGGCTGGTGTCTATCAAACTTGCAAAAGGTCAGTCCCGCCAGCGATACGTGTTCCTTTGTCCTTCTTCTCCACAAGACAGACTTCTTCCTAAATGTTTGTTTTCCCTGCTGAGAAAAGAAATGTTTTACTGAGATAATGGATAAGAGAGCAGTCGAATGAATCAGCTAAATAAAGAGATCATGGCCAAGACAGACCTGGGGAGATCAATCCAGATATTTAGAGAGAATCGCATCCTGTCCACAGGGAGTGGGGACAACATCAGAATCTACACGATCATCATTTCCAAGTCTTAAAGAAACAAGTTTTTTTTTATGGCTTTTGTGTGAAAGCAATGAATCACTCAAACACAGGCTAACCAAACAAATATACAATCTCTCAACTGGAACATCTGTATTTTGTAAAAAGGATATCATCAGCAACCCTGTTATGTTTACCCTCTCAAGGTCTTCTGTTTTCCTTATAGCTGTATAAACTCACACACATAGATATTAATTATGCAGTTGTTACTGTGCATGGTATCTTAGAAATCATTTTACCCAAGCTTCACAAGTTCATTGTAGTGAAAATAAACACATTTCATACAGGTACATTTCATGTGCTTAATGATAGGGATTTTTTTTTAGAAGCTTGTAGTAGCTGGGACCAACAAACCGTCTTAGGACAGCATATTCCCTTGATTAGGGTATAGATGTAAAATGTGTCTCACATGTTCAGGGGTGGGGCTTTTAGAAATTAATCACATAGTAGGAGTGCTATATTCACCAGTGGACAAATCCATCAATAAGTTTATAACTGAATGTGTGCTTTAAAGATGTGTCACTCGGGAGTTTGACTTAGAAAAGGTATTCTTGTCCCTGGCTCCTTTCCTTTCTCTCTGTTTCCTGGCTGCCATAGATTAAGCATCTTTCCTCCACCACACCTTTCCACCATGATGTTCCTGCCTTGGAACTAGCCAACCTTGGACCGAACCCCCTGAAACCATAAGCCAAATTAAACCTCTCCTCTTAATTGCAGTTGTTTTGTACTTTGTCTCAACAGTGGGAGAGCTGAATACTCATTGGCCATGATACAGTGTTACCACCTGGAATTTTTCACTGTGTTTTCTTAGTATATGAAGATTTTATTTACATTACCATCTTCAACCAGTGGTTGCCAATGGAGTACTAAAACAACTGGGCATCTGAAATGATAGAATATCTTTTCCACCACCAGTAAGTATCAGATGTGGACTGGTTCCATCAATATCTGAGGTGTCAGGGATATAGTACTTGCTGCTTTCCTAGTAGCACTGTCTTATCACTTGTGTAAATTGGTGTCCATGAATTTTCCATACACAGATTTATGGCAGAGTTTCTCACCTTAGCTAGCCAACATTTGGGGCAAGATAATTTTCAGCTCTTGTCCTGTCCTGTGCATTAGGAGATACTCAGCAGCATTCTTGTATCATCCCTTCTAGATGCTAGTAGCATTCCTCCCCTCAGGTTGTGACAATTGGAAATATTTCCAGACATTGCCAGATGTGGCTTGTAGGGAGTCACAGCTGTCCCCAGTTGAGATGCCTGGCTTAAGGTAATGTGACAAGCTTGCATTCATCTTACTGGAGAAGGGACCTACAGCAAGCAATAATAATGAACATAAAATATAAAAAAATCTTCTGTTGTAATGTGTGGAGTTCTTTACCAAGCTAAGTTTTGCACAAATGATTGCTATGCAGAATGCAGATGCTGCTTACATTGTGCATGTTTGAGGGCGGGTGTAGGTGTGCACTTGTGCTTAAGCAAAGATAGGTATAGTTCTCACATCTGTAACACTAGCACTAAGGGAAAATGAGGCAGGAGAACCACAATTTAGAATCCTTCCTGGGCATCTTTATGAGAACCTGTGTCTTAATGCATAAATAAATAAGCAAATAAACAAGCAAATAGGGTGGGGATGTAGCAAAGTAGAATAGTCCCCTTGAGTTCAGTTCCCCTGTACAATAAAGTAAAACACAACACAACAAAACAAAAAACAAAACATTGCAGGACTTCCAATTCTATTTCTGTTCAGATTGTTTTCTAAGAATTATTGCATCTTTATTATCTTCTTGTACATCACCTCCCTGATGGTCCAGTAAAGCAATACTCTTCTGTTTGGAAGGAGTTAGCTCTACTTTGGATTTGAATAGCCATTCTGTGATTGGGTAATGTGTAGTATGTGTCTGTTATGCTCACCCACAGAAGAGCATAGGTTTTCTTCATTCAAATTAAAGCATAGTAGCACAGCCTTTCACTACCAATACATTTATTTACGACATCAATTCACAGGTGGATATACTGGTGCACCTCTGTAATCCCAGCACTCTGGAAGCCTGAAGCAGGAGAATCACAATTTCAACCCCCACATGGGCAACTAAGCGAATTAGCAAGATCATGTCTTAAAATTTAAAAGAAAAAGAAAATTAAAACTGGCTGTGAATGTAGCTAAGTGCAAAGGCTCTGGTTTCAGTCTCCCACACTGCACACACAAAGAGAATACCACAATCTTTCAGCAATAATGCATTTATTTATAAAAAGTAGTTCACTGACCCGTCTTGTGTAACTGGACACTACTTACATCTGTCTTCATCCTGTGAGGTCAAATTTTGTTCCTGTTCGAGTCTGTGATGGAAGATCTTTCCATGCAGAGTCTCTCACTGAGCCTACTACTAAGCGTGTACCCGCAGAGTGCAGTCAGTATGTGGTTAATGGAAATATACCAGCTCAGCAGCCACGCCTCCCAAAACAAGCCTGCAGAGCAGGTGCTTCCTTTCCTATGGCGACATCTGTCATCACAGACAGGATCTAACCACAGAAAATGGGTCCCTGATTCATTCATGCACAGAGCTTATAGACAGCATTTAAATGCTTTCTCTCTCTCTCTCTCTCTCTCTCTCTCTCTCTCTCTCTCTCTCTCCCTCTCTATTCTTCCCTTCTCTCAGCATCATTTTTTGAACAATCTAAGGCAGGAGGCATTTTCAGACACACTAGTATTTTCACAGGACAACAGTGCAGGATCTAAACTGTGGCCGTTTCTAATTTTACCACCTGCGGGGGCAGCAGGGCTGGAAACAGGAAGAGCCAGAACAGAGCAGGCACAATAGGAGTGCTTATCAGGAGGCCCGGTCTTGGGCAAAGCCTGTTCTGCTGTGATGAATTTGTGGTCACGCAGGCAGAGGGATGGGACCAGTGGTGGAATCCTTTTCAGAACTGTGTGGCACTTTGTTGGCATCCACAGAGTGGAGGACAATACATATAAACAGGAGGGGTATAGCTGGATGACCCAGCAGTCATGTCTTTGTTCTTACAAGTATTTTGTATTTTTCTACAGCTTTGGATTCCTTTTGATGATTTATACTTCAAATGTCCACGAAACTGCACAGCAGCAGGCAGGCCTGTTCCACTCTTGATTTTCATGATGCTGTCTTTTGGTGTCATTTTTCCAAGCTTTGAAGAAAAGAAAAATCAAGCAAACTACACATTCAGACAGGTGGCTCTTGGACTTGAGAAATGTTAGAAGAAAGCAATAACTGGAGGGTAAGGTACAGGTCCCAAACATATTTTCAAACAGGATATTGAGCTGCAAGATATACAGATCCAACTGTATGCTTGGAAGCCTCAGAGAATGTTCCTTGCCTTTGAGGAATACAGTTTGAAGGGCAGGGGCTGGGGATTTAGCTTAGTGGCACAGCGCCTGCCTGGCAAGAATGATGTCATGAGTTCGATTCCCAGTACTGGAAAAAAAGACAAACAAAGAAACAAAAAACATAGAATATCAGTTTGAAGGGCAATAAGGACATGACTCCAGACTTGGAAATTCTTCCCATAAGTGATTGTGGAATTTACACACTAGAGTATGGACCTCAGACACATCTAAGTATGAGTTGATAATATGGTTCTGTCCCATACTTGCTGGATATAAAAATACCTATTTCATGTGATTGTCAGAGAAATCAATTAAAGTACATGGAATTGCCAGACAAATGCTATATTTCATTGTTGTAATTATTATTGTGATTATTAATTCCAGTGATATTTTATAGATAGTGGAATTTGGAATAAAAGTAGCATTAAACATATATATACATATATATATTTATATTCTTTTTTCTTTCCTTTTCTCCTTTTGTAGGGGATGGTGACTCTTAGCATATCATTTTAAGATGGAATAATTCTACTCTTAATGCAAGCCTCAAAATATGTCTTGAGAAACATCCCGGAGGGGTTGTAAAGAGTTAACTTTGCAATCCTGACTTAGCCCTGGAATCCTTCTCCAAAGACAAAGAACACCAGGGCCTAGATAACCACCTATGACCTTGCCTGGGTTGTTTCATCCTTTCCCTGGCCCTAGATAAACATTGTAACAATAAAGGAAATGCATGGTTATGTAAAGGGGGACATATAAAACAGAGTACAGAAAGTATATTTCATTGTGGTTGGGTTCATGACCGGAGCCTGACCCGGTTACATAGCACAAGGAAAACAACATGTGGCCAGGGCTACAACCTTCCCAAATATTACCATGGTAACTAAAAATGTATATAAGCTGGGAACAAAGGCAGGCCCACGCCCACTTCCCTGACTTGCAAGTCGGGATGAGAGGTGACCGGTCTAAACTAAAACTTCGTCTGTTCTCATAAAGTTCTTTGGTCTCTTGCGGAATACAGCCCGAATTTTGCCAAAGGACTTTCCCTCATTCCAGGTGTTCCTTCTTTTGAGCAGTTTCTTTCCCTTTCGTGATATCTATTGTACACTTTGAGTTTTATTTAGTCTTTCATGTTCTTACATTAAAGAGACAATACGATGTTTACATAAGTGGGTCCGATTTATTTCACTTATGGATATGGTCTCTACTTTCATCCATTTACTATAAAAGCTGCAGGTTTATCTATTTTTATAGGTGAGTAATACTATAATGGTTTACTGAAAGGAACAGTTAATGCTTTAATTTTTTTTTTGACCAATGTTGCATGCTTACATCAGATAATCTGAACAACTAATTTGGAGACAACAATATGCAACATAACAACCATTTCTGAATTCCTATCATCTTGTTTAGTGAAACTCTGTATTGCTTATACTTTTTTTGTTTTTATTTTTAATTGTCTTTAATGGTTGCTCAATTTTGCATTCTTACATCTGGTAATCTGAGCAACTTCATTTAATATAAAAATATGTAATATAACAACCACTGTTATTTCTGATCATTTTGTTCTGAAGCCCTGTATCATTCTTATTGTTTTTACTTTGTTTTGTTTTTGTCTACATTGTTGGTATTTGATGCTGTTCTTTTTTAATTCTCTTTAAAATAAAAAAAAAAAGTAGCAGTAAAGAAGTCAAAAAGGTAAACCCTAAGACACAGGAGGGAAAGAAAGAAACTAAGAACAGGTTATAAGCAAAACACTAGAACTGGGTAAAATTTCAAGGTGATATCTGAATTTGGGTTTTGATATACTGGGTTAAGTCATTTTATGTGTCTTAAATAATAACACTATACACCCACTTGGTAAATTTTTTAAAGTCTCATTGCTCATAAGTAGCAGACATGATATGTTAATAACCCTTTAATTAGAGATAGCAAAATACTATGAATTATATGAAATAAAGGACTATTTTGTTAGATCTTTCACCACTGTGACTTTAGTAGCTATATCTGGTCCCTGGAACCTTCTTCTGTAGGGGGCAATGAATCTTAGCATATTATTTTGGATAAAATAGTTTTGGTAAAAGCCTACGAGGTGCCTTGGGAAGCCTCCTGGGACAGTGTAAGAGCTAATTCCCCAGATCAACACTGCCCAGGAATGTCTCCCCAAGATAAAGGGGCACCTAGGCCTAGTTAACCCTCCATGACCCTGCCTGGGCAGTTTCATCTCCTGGCCCTAGATAAACATTGTAAACATAAAGTAAATGTACGGTTATCTAAAGGGGGACGTATAAAACAAAGTACAAAAAGTATATATCATTGTGGTTGGGCTCATGACCGAACCCTGGCCCAGTTACATGGCACAAGGAAAACAACACATGGCCAGGGCTATAACATTCCTTTCTGTTACCATGGAAACCAAAAATGTACATAACCTGGGAACAAAGACAGGTCCACGCCCACTTCCTGGACTTGCAAGTCAGGATGAGAGGTGACCGGTCTAAATTAAAAACTTTGTCTGTTCTCTTTGGTCTCTTGCGGAATATAGCCCGAATTTTTGCCGTAACCCTTCCCCGGTTCTTTTCTTGTTTCCTGTGTCTGGAATATAGGCAGTGGGCAACTTTTCTTGGCTATGCCCTTCTGCCATGATGTTTCTGCTTTGGAGCCAGCTGCTTATGGACTAAATTCTCTGACAGTGTGAATCAAAATAAACATGTCATCTTGTCAGTGACAACTGTCAGGTGTTTTGTCTCAGCAATGTAAAGGGGGCTAATATAGCAGGGAAGACAAGGAAGAATGTTGGAGATAAATCCAAGAAAAGTCAGAGCTCACTGGGGTTTCAGTTGTGATCTATGAGGACAAATTGACAAAGATAACATGAAGCTCATATGGACCAGACGGAGCCCACCAAGTCAAACTGGAATCCATATTTTCTTTTTTCTTTGTTTTAAAGAGAGTAGTAATGGAAAAAAAAAAAAAAGAGCAATATCACATACCAACATCACAAGCATAAGCAAAACAAAGCAAGCACATTAAAAGTGATACACAGTTTCAAACAAAACGATAGGAATTAACACTGGTTGTTATATTACATACTGTTATCGTCAACTACGTGGTCAGATTACCAGATGTAAGAATGGAAGACTGTTCAAACCACTAAAGAGAATAAAAAAATAATTATTAGATAAAACATTAGAGATAATACAGAGTTTCACTAGACAAGATGGTAGGAAATCAACAATGGTTGTTCCATTGCACGTTATTGTCTTCAACTCAGTTGCTCAGATTGCCAGGTACAAGCATGCAAAATGGGTCAGAATATAAAAAATTTTAAGCACTTACTGTGGAACCCATATTTTCTTAATAGTACATCTAAACTAGATGAGGCAGAGGCTGCTGGTGGCATTTGTATGTGAACCTGACCTGTAACCTGCAGTCCCCAGATGAAGTGGTTTAGAAAAATCTGAAAAAGTTGTGGTCCCAATTATTACCTTATACCACCACAAGGTTCAAAGAGGACTTCAGTGAGAACATCCTTGCCTTTGTGTTAACATTTTGCAACAGTTGTTGAACACTCATGGTTTTTCAGTCTCATAAGTCTTCTCAACAACCAGCCTTCTACTAGTGTCAGAAAGGGAAACACACTTTTGAAATTATAGAACTATCTTAGCTGTATCAACACAGTACAAATCCAGTACACATTCTTTGCAAATCCAGTACACATTCCAGTGCACATTCTTTGCTTCTGGGTGAATGGTACATGGCTCCATTTCCACAAACTATAAGTAACCTGAGGTATGAAACAGATACCCAGCCAAGCACACAGAGAAGACTCATGCAGGAAGGTAAGTGGATACCCTAATCTACATTCCACTGCATCCCCAACCACATTCCCTGGAGCTGACCCACGTGCTTTGTGAAAGGTTCAAACTTTTCTTTCCACTATGGAGTCTTGGACTTTCTTGAAAGGGCACTTTTTTTAATAAATCAAGTTACTTTCTAGGGTGGAGGTAAGCTCAGTTGCA